GAAGGATTCGGGAGACGCACCACCATGGCGTCCGTTTTTACCAATGGGCCGTGCCTCCAAAGTGAAGCCGAAGTGGTTCACCTCTACCGGAGCCTGGAAGTGGGCACCGTGATGACTTTGTTTTACTCCAAGAAGTCCCAGAGGCCGGAACGGAAAACGTTCCAAGTCAAGCTGGAGACGAGGCAGATCATTTGGAGCAGAGGGTCGGATAAAATCGAAGGCGCAAGTAAGTACAAAATTGGGCTTTCGGGCGAGTCCGAAGAATCTATAAATGAGGAGACAGCATCTGAGTGCAGCTTAAAATGTCTATGCATAGAAGTTCTCAACTCTTTAGAACAGAAGCTGTGGAGACCCAAACAGCTACATTTGACATAGACAGTCTGGAGTCAATGTACTCAAGCTTGTGGGAACACAGGTCCTCCCTGCACAAACTCTTCAATGGAAGAAATGTCACTGAAGATTTTGTTTTAATACATGCATTTATCTTTACTGTTGCAAATATGTCTACAAATGTTTTATTTACTTGTTTAGTTATATATACTGTAGCATTTGTGGCTGAAAGTGGATGGGAGAATCTTACCTTGTTCACCAGTATCTACTGTAGCATAAGTGGATGGGAGAATCTTACCTTGTTCACTTGGGGAAATCTTTACTGGCATCATAGCTGATATGCTAGTGACTATGTGTCTGCTTTCTGCAGAATCCTTAGCATGCTGATTTCTGACTTGGCAATAGTTCCCTATTGTAGTAACACTGCAAGTTGTTGTAGCATTTGTCTTTGAGTTCAAATTCCTTCTTGGGTGCAAAGCTTACTGGCTAATCTTGGATCATTTGTTGTCTTGTAGTCTTCTCTCCAACCCCATAGAATTTTGAGAGAATGAGGACATTTTTTTCTATGTATAGTTAATTTCTGTGCCCTTAATTAGTGGAATTTGCAGCTGTTGCAACTTCATTCATGAATTTAGCTGTTCTTTGAAAAAGGATTAGACAAATGAGTCTATGTTTGTCCATGGTGGTTATCCACAATGGTTAAATGAAATCTGTAGTGGGCCTCAGAATACCTGTTGCCAGGAGTAATGGGCCTTCATAGCCTGCTTATAGAGTTCTGAAAATTGCAAAAAGTAGGATCTGGGGCTTGATAGATCTTCAATCTTATCAGCTGAGTTCTACCTGTGATGATAGGAAAAAAGTAGGAAAGCCATGTTTGCTGCTCTGGATATTGTTTTAAAAAGGCCCAAATCCTGAATACTGTAAATAGAATGACTTCATGCAGTGAAGTCAACAGCTGTTGGTGAAAAAGGCATTGTAGGTTTTCAGGATGCACAAAATACTGCTCTGCCTGATAACAGGCTCTGGCCATATTGTGCTCAGAGATGGGGTGCTTTGTATTTCATATAAGCATTTGGAATACAACATGTAAATTAAATACATTGCATTTCCGATACAGCTGCACCTCAGTGTGTGATACAGTAATTGAAATTGATTTGTGATTGTCTGCAGGTCAACTCTTGGGTCCTTTAAGTTTTTTTGTGGGCATGATATCCATTGTATGTAACGACCAATATCAGTTTTAATCGCCTTCCAGCTGCACATATTCCAGCTGTCCCCTTGCTCTACTAAGACATGAGAGCTGAAAGAGGAAAGATATATATATATTTTGTTTTTCCTCAAAGTTTAGTTTAAAGGTATAAATCTGAAAAATGTGTTGGGGACCCATTCTCTGACAAAACAACTGATTTTCCTTCTCACTGTTGAATATGTCAGAGGCAACTTGATGGCATATGACAACAACAGCAAAATGAACATGAACCTGAAAATTTTTAGTATGGGAGATTTAATTTTTTAAATTAAACCCTTTAGAAGTAAATATGTGGGGAAATATGCTTTTCAATGCAATGCAAAGGTTTTAAAACATCTAAAGGTTTCAGCTACAAGTTCCAGCATAGTTTCTCCCAGCAGAAGAATAGTAAACTGGTTGACTGGGATGCTTAACATTTGCTTGCAGATGATCAGATAGAGAAGGAGCTTGATTAATTTATTGGTTGATTAAACCTGTACCTCGCCCATTTAGTGGATAAGCCGCTACTCTGGGCAGCTTTCAGAAAATAACAAAAATATATAACATTTTTAAAAAATGAACATATAAAAACAAATATCTCTTTGGCGAACCATGGGCCAGCATAAACTTACTACAAAATTAATATTACAGAGGGGTGAAGTTTGTAAAGGCCCATGTAAAAAGCCAGGTTTTAACTTACTTTCGGAAGCTCAAGAGGGTGGGGGCCAATCGCACCTCCACAGGAAGGGAGTTCCCGAGAGGGGTGGCCACTATTGACAAAGCCTGGCTTCTAGTGGCCACCCAGAGCATCAAGGATTGGGAGGTACATGTTGGACAGGAGGCTGACCTGAGAGAGGTGCTCTAACAGATAGCAAGGTCCTACACTGTAAAGGGCTTTATAGGGTAATATCAGTACCTTGAATTTGGCCTGGAAGGATACAGGCAGCCAGTGCAGGTGACCCAGGATGGGTGAAATTTAGATGTATCAGTAACCAACCTGACTGCTGTATTTTGTACTTGCTGCAGTTTCCAAACTGCCTTCAAGGGCAGCTCCGCGTAGAGAGCATTGCAGTAGTTGATCCTTGAGATTTTCAACATGTGAACCCATGTTATTAGGTTATGTTTTTATTTTTTAAAAATATGTTTGCCTTTCTCTGCCTTTACAAGGCAGCTTACATCATGAAAAGCACAATGTTAAAAGCTAAAAACAGTAAATTATTCAGTAAATTATTGGCCTGCCTGAAGAGAAAGGTTTTTGCTTGCGTATGGAAGAACAGCAAAGATGGGGCCAACCTATGGGAGGGAGTTCCAGAGTTTCCGAATAGTGACAGAAAAGGCCCTCTCCAGTATCCCCATCAAACACACCTGGGAAGGTTGTGGGACTGATGATCCTAACATCTGGGCAGGCTCATAAAGGGGGAGATACAGTTTTAGAGAAAGCTTGAACCCAAGTCACTTAGGTCATTATAGGTTAAACCTGCACTTTGAATTGTGCTTGGAAAAAGGGCAGCTGCTGTAACGGGGGTGGGGTTATATGTATGATCCCTGTAACTAGCCCCAGTTAACAATCAATCTGTAGCATTTTGGGCCCTCTGGAGTTTCTGAATATTTTCCGAAGGTAGGCTCACATTGCAGTAATACAGCCGAAGTATAATTAAGACATGTGTCACTGTGGCCAGGTCAGATCATTGGGTTTTGTTTAAATCCTTCTGTGGATATTTTATAAAGGAATAACTAGCAGTGCAATATTGTGTATCTCTACTTGAGAATGAGATTGTATACTACGGCATTAACGTATGTATGAGCAAACTGGTACAGAATTCATTTTGCCATTGATAGTTGTGAACTGGTTTTCAGGACTGAATTTCTGCATTAGAGACTCTCAACTGTCTGTGCTAATAAACTTCCTAAAAGTATTCTGCAAATAAAGAGTGTAGTGTTAGATTATTCCACGTAATACCAGTCTTAACTCTACTTGTGTACCTCTCATCGTCAGAAGGACTGTTTGTGGCATTTACACTGGAATGTGAAAACAAACAGTGCTGGGAACTTTTGAGTCTAATTTTCATGGCCTTTCTCCAGACAGTTTGATCATTCACATGTGACACTGCGTAGTGCCTGGTTTATTGGACTTCTGTGTCAAGTAGAAAACCGAAGCAACAGAGATAAGAACAGCCTTTTGACTTTTTTATTTTTCGTGAGCTAGATTTGATCTGCAAAGTAAACAGTCTTGCGGTACCCTTGTGATGAACAGATCTCTGGATGACATTGACTGTTGTGAGCTTGAGCCCACTTGGTTAGATGCATGGAATGTTGCCAATTGTGTAAAAAGTATATGAGTCTGTCTGTTTGCCCATATGTATTTTTAGTTACATATACAATATACATACATAGCAGTGACAACCAGGTGAAAAATACAAACACAGACCCAGAAACCAGGGAAATGTAAAATGTATACCTTTGATCTTCCTATTGAAATTCCACAGACTTATATTCCATATCTTTTTTTCTCCTTCCCCAAGCCTCTAAAGGAGGTGGAATAAATCTGTTGACCTTTAAGATGCTTATATTTGCTGTATCAAGCTAATCCATCTCTCCTTTTGGAATCCTGAAAATCACAATGCTAATCTCTCAAATAAACTATTGGTAAGCAATTTATCAGCCACACAAGCAGATGTTTTCACAGGTGGATGGTGGATTGATTAGTTGTAATAATCCTCTCCTAAACCCTGTGAGATGGGGCTTTAAACATCCTAATTTGATATCTTTGTTGAAGCTGCATAAGAATTAATTTTGAGAACAATAGAGCGATTTCAATTGAGCTTTCCTGAGAATGAGATATATAGTCAGGGTTGCATCCTTTACATCACTTCTTTATTGTCACAGAATTCTTTGTGGACATCAGTACTTGACTGGGGGAGGGAAGAGTAATTTTCCTTTTTTGCAACACTGTGTGCTATGATTTGGATTCTTACGTTGAGGTTGAGCAGGGGGTTGCACTCGATGGCCTTATAGGCTGCTTCCAACTCAATTATTCTATGATTGATTTAATCCTGTTTCTGTTTCTCAGAACTATGTGAACACATGACATTATATATGCTTCTATGATTTGCAAGAAAGTGCTGTTCAAAAATCCATAGTAAAACTGTCATGGAGGGATGCTCTTCTACAACAGCCTGTGGGTCACATCTTGTCTCTGTTCATATTTTTTTGGCCCCTTTGACATGTAGGCTGTTCAAATTTGGTGGTACACCTGCTTTCCTTAAAGAGGTTTTAGAATTTTGTACACTTTTAATTGGGCAAGCAATAAATTATTTTCTCAGAAGGGGATGCTCCCCTCCCCCGGTGGTAGAGACGTGTAGGCACTCAAAATCCAAGGTGATGGGTTGTAATGTTGATGAATAGTTTAAGTAGAATTATGTGTATGAAACTTTCAGAATAGAAGATACTCTTTGTCATCTGTTTATTGTACCTACAGTGTCTGAGTAAGGTTTGGAAGAGAATGGCTGAAAACCTGTTGTGGTAGTTATGCTTGTGTAATTTGAAAATGTGCATCGAAAATTTGCATATCTGAAATTTGCACCCAGGCAGAAGTTGTATTCAGGAACCAGTTCTGCAGATACAGTACTGATCTGAAATTTGCACCCAGGCAGAAGTCGTATTCAGGA